ATAATTAATAAAATTCAGGTTCGGACATTCCATAAATATTATTTAGCTAACTTAGGTATTTTAATATCACTTTTACTAATGTAACCCTTTAATTCTTTGTAATTTTACATAGTGAGACACTAAGTGAATGCCTGACATTTGATTTGTTTCCTTCAATTGGCTATTGAATTGTAAATGTATTTTAAAAGTTGATAACTTTTGTATTTTTTATCAGTTTTATATATAATATATACCAAATTAATCATCTTTTGATGATCTTCGATTTGACATTCATATTGTATATATGAATTAAATAAATTATATTTATCTTATAATAATAAATTATAATAATATTTATTAAAATTCATTAGAAAAATAAAGTTATCTCTCAATTGATATATTTATTTTTAATGTAGTTATATGTTGTAAGTTAATAAAATTATTATATAATAACACAGGTAAGTCGCACAAATAAAAAAGTGTCATATTAAATATATAAATAATATATATATTTTTATAAAAGGTATTGAAATTTTCAATTATTTTTTTTATCATTAATTTTAAATTTAAAAAAAAAATTAGCAAACACCCGTGTAATACACGGGTGTTGTACTAGTGTGTTTTAAAATTAAAATGTTGATTCCATGTATCCCTACAAGTATAAAAAATATTAAACTAACTATTATTTTGCCAGAATTCATCACTGAAAATCTTGAAACTGGAAAACTTTAAAAAAATTGTATACAAATTAAACAAATATAAATATTATATATAAAATGGTCAATAATGTATTAGAATATATTATTATTTTCAATATTAAATAAGACTAGTAATCATCATGGCAGATGCACAGATGTACATAAAATATTATAAGTAATATGTGAGAATTTAATATTAAAATTCTAGATAATGAACTTCTTTCATTTTCAAAATTTGATCATTAGGAAAAATAAAATAACAATTGTTCATTATTTTAAATAATTGTTTTTTATCATTAGATAATAATTTGATTATTATTATTATTACAAAAATAATTGTTTAAATTGACTATGCTATTAAAACTATTTACTAATTATTTTTAAAAAATTTATTTCATGAGATATACAAGAAAAGGATAAGATTGATGTTAAAATAAATATCTTAAATAATTGTTTATAATTATATAATTTATAATTATAGTGAATTATTATTAGTTGATATTAATTAGCATTAACAGTTATATAATATAATAGAAAAATACATGATTACACTCAATAGGATGTATTAATGTGAAAAGTAAAAAAATATTGATGATGAATTTTGTAACCGAAAACAGAGAGAAAATTTAGAGGTTTTATTTATGAGATTTTCTTAAATGCCAATAGCTAGTAATTATATATATAGGTAAGGGATCATATGAGAATGATTGATAGTGAAAGAAATAAGAATGATCATGAACCATTGGA